GCTAAGTCCAAGTAATTCAAACTTTTGTGAAGCACATTCAACTCTGTACAGAAAAAAGTACTCAGAGAACAATCTAAATGCAAAATCCAAGATCCCCACCCACTTGTCACTTATTTGTGGTGGCACCTGGGATGGCCAGTCAGGTGCCCGAGGTGGCTCTTGCCACCCTGGCCACCCCTCTGGCTCCGCCCCTGACCAGAAGCTCCTGATTCTTCAGTTTTGATGTTTCAGAAAGACTTTCTGTATGTGGGAGCTGAGTGTTTGTTGTCCTGTCTTTGCAGGAGGAGGAGGAGGAGGAACCGCAGCTGCAGGAGAATGATCCTGTCAAACAGGAAGTGGCAGAGCAGGAGATTCCAAATTGAAGCTGATGGAGAGTATGTGGACGTCTCACCTCCCGTCTTTGCCTTTTCTGTTCAGACTATAGCAGCGAAAACTTTCTACTAGCCTTCCAAAGTTTGGATTCAGCCAGCAGTTAGCTTCCACTCTAGAAAGCTTAACAACCAGAGATGTATTTTAGAAAACACTATTCAGATAATGAGATTTTTAGTTTTAAGGGTAGAGTTTGTACTTATAGATGGAGCTGAACCGATGGACAGTTTCTCTTGATCATTCAGGAGCTACAAATGTCTGACATTTCTGAAACACTCGATGCAACCTGTTTTCATACGTGATTGATCAGAAAATGTGTTCTCAGAATCCTGTTTACAAACTCAAGCAAGCACATTGTGGCAGAACGTTTGATTTCCTTTGAGCCCACAGAACACATTTCTATGCTGAGCACACCTTTACCTGCCTGACGTCAGCAGTGAAGCTTTTTTATTGTCTTCAAACACATTTCATTTGACTGGTTGGTTTTTGAATTGCGTGTTTATTTTCCTTTTCTTTCGTAAAACATCAGAATCTGTTCCCACCGTTGTGTAAAGTATTAAGTTTTCTTCTTGTCCTACCAGTAAGGGTGTCCCGATCAAGATTACAGTTGGATGGGTATTTGATATCACACCATATTATCTTAGACTTGTGAATTAAATCATAACAGACTTTGTGATATCAAGAAACTCATCATCCAAACCAATCGATATTGTGATAAAGCTGGTGATTCACACCCCCCATTTCATGATATTACCTCTGTCAAGCTTCAGATGGTGCTGTTTAACAAATACAGTAGGTCACCTGACTGGGCTGCTAGCTGCAATGATGCTTAAGGCTGGTTTATACTTCAACAAACATGAGACAGCGGATCGGTTATTGGGATATTTTAGAGGTCTTTGTCTCAGAGTGTTCATAGTGAGAGGATGGCACGGGGAAATTTCATCATAACTTCTTCCTCCACCCTCCCACAGTGCTCCCAATGGAGCACAAGTCATGCTCATAGCTAAGCATATAAACAACCCAGTGATAGCAAGATAGACAAAGGTTGTTGTTTTTTTCTCACTTATTAATCGAGGACAGGTCCAGATACGATCAGGGCAATTCCTACATCTACATAAACACTACGTTTTATATTTTTTATATTTCCTATTTATTTCAGGTCAAGTCATATCTTGTGTTAAGGTTCAGTAAACAAGCCAAATGAAGCTGTTACAGGCATCCTTTCACTTAAGCGGGTAGCATGAGGACACCAGTCATTTCAATGTCCTCTGTTTCATATGGTCATTGCATTTGGCCACTTGAGTACCGTCCCTTGAGGACCCCCTTCAGCTCAGGGCTCTAGATAAATGCCTACCTGCCTGCCTGACATCACTAATACAAGACAGTTAACCCTAGACCAGAGGCAGTTCTCATGCAAATGTCTGCTGCTCGTTTTGACAAACTCGTCCACCTGTTACATTCAGCACGTACTGACGCACAGCGTGCCGACCTGAGTCCTGGAGAGACCATCGGTGACACTTCAAGCTTTGTAGAGATGGTATGTTTTGTTAAGCGGAGCTAGAGATGCACCGATCCGATAAATATCAGTATTGAAAAAAATCTAGATCGGATATTGGTGAACGTAGGGCCTCTATTGCATATATTCAGTCTAATTTGACATGGTAAGTCAAAAATATTTGTCAGAGACGGCAATAGAGACTAGAATAGAAACTGCACGGTAAAGTGTGCTAACACATAGAGGAGATAAAATATGTCAAAGCCATGAGTTTTATGTGATATATTTTACATTACTTTTTGAATTACTAATTGCTCTTTTTTACATTGAATGTTATACTCTTATACCCCTGAAGAAGGTAAAGTTGAGTTATTTCTACCTGCTTCACTAAGCTTGTGAAGCTATTCATTTATTTAGGGTTACTGTAGACTACGGGAGCACAGTGATCAAATGTATAATTCAGAACATTTAAGTGTTTAAAAAAAGAGGAAACAAATGTTTAAGTCAACTGAACAATGTTTGTGAAAACGAATCGGTATTGTTCAGATATTTGTATCGGACGTGAAAAAAGTGGATCGGCGCATCCCTAAGCAGAACTGTCCTACGCCTTTCCCCTGAGCTGCGTTAATCCACTTCTCTGCCTGTTTGCTGTGAAAAAAATGAAGGGGGAACGATTGTCTCTGTGGTTAAAAAGGAAAAATAAAGATAATGCAAGGAATAAAACTATGAACGCCCTTTTACTACCCACAACTACTATTTCTATTGTTCGTTGCAAGGAGCCATTCAAAAGATTCGGAGGGATAACAGGTGGAAGCTACGCAATTTTGTCAATCATCATCGACAAAACGAGTGACTTGAAGTATAAACCAGCCTTTACACTGATAACAGGAAATTGTTGTTCATTGTTACATGCTCTACTTTGGATTGAATGATGCAAACATCTTGGGTAGATGAAAATCTCTTGTTTGCCTCATCCTTTTTTTTATTAAATTTGCTGCAACGATGCTAACAGGTAAAAACAGCTTGCGCACCATCGTAAAAAAAATGTTCCGTACATGATAAATCGCTGGCATAAATTTTTATGTGGTCTCTATTGTGAATGCTGTATTTCAGTTGTAATTCAGTGCGATTGATTCATGTGAAACCATAGACAGTACTGACTCAGGATCTGAGTGCCAGCTACTCCACTACAGATCAGTGAATGATGCCTTAATCAGTACTCTAATCTGATACCTGGGATTGGCTCGGGACATCCCTACTACTACTTGTTTATCAGTTTGATTTCAGTTCCTAAATCCCAGTCTTAGCAGTTTTATCTGTCTTTAGTTTAAACTCTTTGGGGAATCGTCTCCCACATCTCAGTAAAGCAGCTAAACATTTTATATGAACGTATGTAAAAACAGGCTTCAGTCATCTCAAACCAGCTGCTCCATTTACATTGTTTTTTTAGATAATGCGAAGAGTCAGAAAGTGATGACTACATTTAGTTCCCATGACTGTTCTGCTCATGTATTGGATCTGACCAGAGCCACTGTCCGGCTCAACAAGTGTCAGATATCCACAGTGAATCTGGAGTTGACCCCTGAAGTGCCAATAAATCTGAAGTGCAAAACAGTTTTGGTTTAATGATCATCACACAAATATAAATCCTTCAGCTTTGGGTTATCTAAGCTTGCTGGTAATTTTTACCTCCACCAATTGCAATTTGTGCCCTCACTTCATACTGAGTTGTCATTTTATACCAATAGACAATTGCACCCATGCACCTACTGCATGCTCTTATCACTATAGGTACCAGCTCCTCTTGATTACAGCAATACAGGTTATTTTGGTTAGGAAAAAAACAATAAAATTACTATTTCAAAGACACACAAAAAACCATTTTCTGAAGTTTATGTTTGTACTTTAAATCACCTATGCTTGGACGTGTTAGTCTGTGTGTAAAATACTCATGTGGACACAGACTCTTGATGTGAAGTGTAATAAAACTGTAGCTGCTTGTATAGAATACATTGAAACCACAATGTAACCTGATGTTGTTTTGACACACATAATGGGCTGTAATTTTTTAGGAGTTGATTGGTTTGAGTAGAACTTTATTTTTCTTTTTTTATTTCTTCCATTTTAAGGGTCTGGAGTTTGTCGGAAAACGGTCAAATGCCCAGGTCTAACCATGATATTAACAATAATAATTAAACTAGTCAGTAGGTTAAATCCTCAGTGTTGGTGAAGCTGCCAAGGTGAGTATGAAACAGTCTGAGAGACCAGCGGCAGACAACTTTCCAGAAAGTTTGGGTTTGTGGTACAACTTGGCAGAAGTACAAACTGATTTGGAACCTTTTTTTGTTGTTGTTGTTCCTCTGTTTTTTGACTGACTTCTGCTCTCAAAATGCAGTTAAACATGTTTAGTTTTCTATGGATACTTGCATGAATGTGTGAATGATTGACGTGTGAAGCGTTTTGGAGTCCGTCGGGACTTGATAAAGCACCATATAAGTTCAGGTCGTTTACCATTTTTGTGCTGTTTTCCCCCATTTTGTTGTAGTTTAACTTTGTTTCTTTTCCACTATGCTGTGAAGGCAAAGGTTCCTTTTTATTATTGCAAAAATGTTTTTCTTATCGTAGGCTGCAGTTGGCTTATTTCTTTTCAGATTGTTTTTAACATTTTTTAAAAATATATATTTTATGCACACTGTGGCTGAGTTCACACTGCAGGCAGTTCAACCCATATCTGATGTTTTTCATGACAATCTGAACGTGACAAATCCAATATTTTCAAATGCGACCCAGGCCTTTTCAGCATGTGGTACTGAATCGGACATATCTGATGTTTTGTCGCATTTCATCCAATTTTACATTAGTGAGATGGAGGTAAACAGATCATTCCAAGTACTTAGAGCCGTGTTTAAATCTTGTAATTTCATGTATTCAGCTACAGAACAGAAGTCCAGTTGTTTTGTCTTTTTTTTCTTTTAATTTTCCATGTCCTGCAGAATCCACAAAAATGCATGCTAGTAACATTGGTGTCGGACCGTATCGATACTAAAGTGACTGGATCTATTTTTTTAGTTAGCGTTACTTTCAGCACATCACTCCCGTTCCAAAAATACATGCTACACTGGAGTATGGATGTGATGTGATGTGATGTCATCTTCAGCGCACACAGGTTGTGTCGGTGCTGTGGAGAGTTCACACTGGAGTCTGGTGGAGGTAGGGTTGGGCATAATCGTGTCGTGTGCAATTAATCCTCAGAAAAACTATAATCGGTTATTTTTTGGCACTTGACGATTAATGCCACCAGGCAGAGGTCGCTCGGTGCTCCTCTCCGCTTCAAATATAACAAACATTAGAAAAAAAGTTCCGTAATTTATTTATGTATCAACACAATTTAAAGTTAGATGTATGGCCTGAAGTCTTTAATTTTGGCACAATTTGGAACAGAGTTTTATGAAGAGCAAATCTTTCCCACTAAATTGGCCATGTGACCAGGACATAAGGGTGTCCAGGGGATTAATCATCAAATTAATCGTTATTGACTAAACACCACAATTAATCATTATTAATGTCTTTGCCAATATTGCCCAACCCTAGGTGGAGGTCACATTTAAGATATGATGTAAACAACAATGCAAATAAATTAGATTTGAGCAAGAAATTGGAATTGAGCGTTAAGACCTGTAGTGTGAAAGTAGCCTAAAAGGAGTTCTTTAGGTCGTATTCAGACCTGATAATTTGCTCCGCTTTAAATGAACCAGAGGTCGTTTCCAGCGTTGGTCCGGACCTTTTCTGCAGGTGTGAATACACTCATGCGAACTCTGGTGCGGATCAAACAACCGGACCGAGACCAGCTTTTTGAGGTGGTCTCGGTCCACTTCCAAACGACCTCTGGTGCGGTTCGCTTCAGTTCTCTTCTGGTGTGAATACAGACCGGACTCTAACCGAACCAACTGCATTAAACATGCACCTTTTTGGACTTCACCGGCCACCATTGCTGAGCTAAATAAACTGAAATCATATCTGTTTCATCGTCTCCTGTTAGCAGCTCTACTGCCAGCATGTTGTGGGTCAGAACACGCAGAGCACCTCGTCTCCTTTGGGTCGCGGGACACATTTACTGACGCCTCTCCAAAATTAGAATATCAGTATTGTACTGATACTATGTTGTACTATATATAGTAATACATATAGTACATATAACAGAGGTGGGGGCCTCCGTTTTCAGCTGTCCCCCTCCTACAGCGCTGCCATTGCCAGTATCACTCCACCCTCTGTTAACAATAGGTATTAATTAGGTGTGAACGATAGCCATGTGATGTGAGTATCAGTCACCTGTGA